GCAATCCTTATCAAAATCCTAAGGACATTTTTCACAGAAATAGAACAAAAACTTCTAAAATTTACATGGAATCATAAAAGACCTCTAATAGCTCAAATGATTCTAAGAAAAAAGAACAAATCACATTTCCTTATTTCACACTATATTACAAAGCCAAAATAATCAAAATGGCATGGTATTGGCAGAAAAACAGGCAGAGAGATCAATGGAACAGAATTGGGAGTCCAGAAACGAACCCACACATATATGGACATATGTGTATACACACGTATATGTAAATTAATTTACATCAAAGGAGCAAAGAATGTAAAATGGAGAAAGGATAGACTCTTCAACAAATGGTGTTGGAAAAACTGGATACCCACATGCAAAAATATGAAACTAGACCATTATCTCACACCATCCACAAAAACCAACTCAAAATGGATGAAAGACTTGAATGTAAGACCTGAAACCATAAAACTTCTAGAAGAAAACATAGGCAGTGTGCTCTCTGACATTGGTCTTAGCAATACCTTTCTAGCTATGCTTTCTCAGGCAAGGGAAACAAAAGCAAAAATAAACAAATGGGACTACATCAAACTAAAAAGGTTCTGCACAGCAAAGGAAACCATCAACAAAACTAAAAGACAACCTACTGAATGGGCAAAGTTTGCAAATCATATATCTGATAAGGGGTTAATATCCAAAATATACAAAGAACTCATACATACAACTCAACAAAAAAGAAGACAACTGACAAAATTAAAAAATGAACAGAGGAGCTTAACAGACATTTTTCCATAGAAGACACAGATGGCTAACAGGCACATGAAAAGCCATTCCACATCAATAATTACGAGGGACATGCAATCAAAACCACAAAGAGATATTACCTCTAGCCTGTTAGAATGGCTATTATCAAAAAGGCAAGAAATAACAAGTGTTGGAGAGGGTGTGGAGAAAAGGGAGCCCTCAGGCACTGTTGGTGGGAATGTTAACTGGTGCAGCCACTATGGAAAACAGAATGAAGAGTCCTCAAAAATTAGGAACAGAATTACCATATGATCCAGCTACCCTACTTCTGAGTATTTATCCAAAGAGTACAGTAACACTAATTCCAAAAGATATATAGACCCCTGTTTTCACAGCAGCATTATTTATACCACAGCCAAGATATGGAAAAAAACCTAAGGTTCCATCAGTGGATGAATGGATAAAGAAGATGTGGTGTATGTGTATATATACACACACTTATATACACAATGGAATACTACTCAGTCATAAAAAAGATCGTATCTTGCCAATTTCAACAACATGGATGGACCTTGAGGGTATTATGCTAAGTGAAATAAGTCAGGCAGAGAATGAGAAATACCATATGATTTCACTCATATGTGGAATATAAAAAACAAACAACAACAACAACAACAAAAACCCCAAAATGAACAAAGCAAACCAAATCAAAACATGCAGATACAGGGAACAGAGCAGTGGTCCAGAGGGGAAGGATGGTGGGAGGAGGACCAAATAGGCAAAGGGGGTCAACTGTCTGGTGATGGATGGAAACTGAATTTTCAGTGGTGAGCACACTGTAGAGTATATAGAAGTAGAAATACAAGGCTGGACGCATGAAACCTATGTAAGTTGTACACCAGTTACCTCAAAAAAAAGAGACTATGGTCTGATGACTATTTTTAATGTAGAAAGGCTGGCAGCAGTAGGCTAAAAAGAGAACCCATGGAGGAACTGATCAGCAGACCTTTAGTTTTCTCCAGAACAGCAATCAAAAATACACCCATAGAATCATTGTAACAGTTTAAAATGAACCACAATACTCTTTTGTCTAGTTTGTGGTCTTAACATTCATTTCTTTCTGCTTGATTTATCAGCTTTTTCCAACTAAACCAAAAGGCAAATCAGATACAATGCATTTCCCAGGTCACAGATGAATCCGAAGATTAGTATCTACTTGCAGAAGAATTGTAACATAAAGCAATACAAATACTTGAAGCCTCTTCGAGTAATACAGAATTTGAAAAACCAACTTAACAAGAAAAAGCCCACGTAGTGAGCAACTTTATACATTTACGGTCAAAACGTACTGCAGGTTTCTGATTTTTCTTGCTCAACAATGGCAGAAAGTAAATGTTGAAGCTGGGCGATGAGTCTGGGGGGTTCGTTATATGCGAGTCCATTTCTTTCAGTACAGCACTTGCCTATTAATAAGGGGTTGTAAAATGACTCCGCAGATAAAAAAAATTAAACAAATCTCTTACTCTTTAAGCTCGCTGTAAATTGGCAGGACCGACGGGTGGCAGACGAATGCAAATGCAATCGTTGGTAAAGCGTACACGGTCTATTTGGAAGAAAAAAATAAACATTAAGGCAAGGCATTTTTTTCCCCCATAAAAATAACAGCACTCTAGGCTTTCTGAGCTGCCTTTTTATCTGACAGCTCTTCAGCATCCCTGGATTATTTGGTTATTAGAAGAGCTCTGATAGCTAAAATAGGAGCAGCTTTTCTAAGAGCGCTCACCTAGCTTGAGATGAGACAGC